CTCCCTCTCCCTCTCTCTCCCTCCCTCTCTTCCCCTCTCCCTCTCCCTCCCCCCCCCATAAGGGTTTGCTCCATCTCCCTGATTTATGCTGCAGTTTAAGAGACAGAACCCAGAAATATTCAAAAATTTGACTCTCCATCCAGGTCAACATGCGCAGGATAGTAAGTCCCACTTCCCGTCTCCTGTCTGCACAGAACCAGAGTGGTCCGAACCAGGCACCGGGTCAGCCCCTGGAACCAAGACAGCGGAGCCAGGCCGCCAACGTCCCAGCCTGTACCTGGCCAAGCAGTTTTCCTCCGCAGCGCATCTCAGGTTGTACATGGCGATCTTTTGCACGTACGTGGACGCCTGGATGTAGTATGGGTCGGGCACCAGGTCCGGGAGACCTAAACGTCAGTGGGCGATGGGCACAGCAGTGAGACAACCCAGCGCCCCCTACCCCGCCTCCCTCCACGACCCTCCTGTTCCTTATCCTTCGCCCAACCGGACTGCGGTGTCAGTGTCTGGCTGAGGGTGGCAGGAGACCCGGGACGCCCCGGGCTGCAAAGCGAAGTGGAAAGGCAGCAGGAGGGGCCAGGCGCGCGGTTTGCACCAGATTCCAGGGCTGCCTCTGCAGGAGCAGGGGAGGGCGGGATCGGATCTGTGGGGACTAGGGCCTGCCGCGCCCAGGCAGCCACGTCGGGGAGCCACCAGCCACGCTGGGCATGGGTGCACCGGTGCTTCCAGCGACTCGGGGTGCTTACCGTACTGGAAGTAGCCGGTGCCGTATCCGGGCCGGTACCTGCTCCCAGGCCGAGGCCTTTCGTACGTATCATAGTAGTTATAATAGGGGTTGTCGTCGGAGTACTTGTAAGGGTTGTATGGGTCGTCGCCCACCATGCCGTCCACGCGGCTGGGCGGCCTCAGGTTGCCTAGCGCCGGGCGCTCCGCCTGCTCCGTCCGGTTATTCGTACGCGAGGCACCAGAGTCGCGGGCCCCCGACGACAAGTAACCAGGCTGGAACCAGTGACGGGCGGCGGGCCTGGGGCGGCCGGTGGCGGCTCCAGAAGAGCCCGCGGTCCGCGCCCGAGTCGGTGCCGTGCGGTTGTTGCGGAGCAGCAAGATCGGCGTGCGCGGCTGGGGGGCAGCAGCGTGGGCGGCGCCCGGGGCAGTGGCGCCCGGGTCCCGTCTACGCTGCGGCTGGTACTGCGAGCCCTGGCTCAGCAGGCTGAACACCTGCCCGTTGTTCTCCCATTGGATCCTCTGGCTCCAGGCGTCCGGGGCCGCCGGCGGCTCCCGAGGGGGCTGCTGCTGGCCGGCGGCCGGTGGGGCGCAGCGCAGAAGCGTGCAGAGCTGCAGTGGCCCGAGCAGGAGCGCGGTCCAGGCGAAGCGCATCGCTCCCTTTGCCGGACTGTCCCCGCTGCAGAAGGACGTAGCTCAGGGGAAAGTAAAACGGGGCTCAAATCACGTGAGAGGAGTCTTCAACCAAGGAGGCAGACGGAGCGTGAATATCTTAGTCCCCACCAAGCAGTGCCAAAGGTGGGCTGCAAACCCTTCTCCAGTAAAGACAGCCGCTGGGACGTGGCACCGTCTCTCTCCTCTTTCCTAGTCCTTCTGGAAAGCGACAGAGAGCGCGCGGCGGCCCCGGCGAGCGCGCAGTGTCTGGAGCGAAGGAAGGAGGAGAGATTTTAAACTTTCTGGCACATTTGCAAAGTTACACAAGCCGTTCTGGCCCGGCCACCCCTCCGCTATTTGTTCACGTAATGTGATTGGAAACGTGCACGGGGGACAGCTCCTCGCCTCTGCCCCTCCCTCCCCTCCTCGGCCTAGCCTCCTCCCCCCAGACACGTTGCACAAGGAGCGTTAAGGGGAAAGAACAAAACGGAACACACATCCTGAGACACGCTCGGCTTAATCTGGGGCGAACATGCAGGAATTTCAAAAGACTCAGACAGGCAAAGGCAGCCAGGCCATGGGGCGACGCCAAAATATGCATGAAGAAAAATGCTATTAGGTCACCAGCCCTGGAGAGGCGGAAAGTCGGGAGGTGGGAGGGTGTTGGGGGCGAGTGGTGGGGTAGGGGGTTGGGAGGAACAATTGTGACTAATATTTATCCTTAAGGAGTTAACCAGACAGATTTCCCAGTGCATACTCACTCGCTTTTATGCGGAGCGTCCTCAACAAATAAAACCCGGAATATCCAATTTTGTTTTCTCGTGTGTAGGTAATATGATAAATGGGTTACAATTTTGTTTCCTACACTGAATATTTTAATAACCAAAAGTAAAATTTCACAGGGAACAAAAACCATCTAACGCTGAAGCAATGACTAAACCTGTCTCTTTTTCAAAATGCTGGCTGATTTGTACTTTGAGTCGAAGTGAAGAACCATCTTTCATCTTGACAGTGTCTACCAGGAAGTTTCTTTAAAGTGGGCTGGAGCAAGTCTGACTAAGAGAGCACTCAGAAGACAGCTTCAAAAAGCATTTTATCTTGACTTTTTTTTTTTTTTTTGTCCATCTACATCTAATAAGGAGGTTTGACTCTGGATTTTAAAAACTTAAATCGCCATTTGTTAAATGTTGAAAAATCCTATAGTGTTTGATTGCTTTTCCAATTTAAACAAAGAGGTTGCTGAAGAAACAGCCTTGCGGTTCAGATTTTGGTAAAGAAAGGAGAGTAGGAGTGGCCAGAGGAGAAGGGGTAGGAGGGTAGGGTGGGAAGTAGGTAATGCTGACTGGAAAAAGATGTTTAATGGACCAGTTATTCACATACCACTCAGAATTTGGGCAATGCTGGAAACATTTCAAAGAAAAGTTGGCACTAAACGGCTCTATTTAAAACTACTACTCAAACCCAGATTTTAACAACTATTTTAATGGTGTCATTGGGCTGTTGTCAAGATACACTTCAATGTTCAGCTATCTCTGTTAGTCTCTGTCTCTCTCTGTTCAATCACCACATTTTGGTGGTGTGGGGGACATCTGCTGACTTGACTGCCCAACATCCATTTCCCTTTTTTCTGGCAAGAACAACTGTGTTTTCCTTTGGGAAACTTCCCCTCCTCAATGGGATCATGCATGGTACTGACTGACATTCGTGAGTAGTGGTTGGTCATGAGATCCAAGCTGTCTAATCAGACTGTCTCCGTAGAAATTGAATCTGGAGCAGAGGGACATAAGGGTCGAAAATGTTGGAGCCCACTCGTCCTATTACTGAAAGAAAGCGTCTCTGAGGTCTGTTTTACACCAGTACCTTCCAAGACCTGGTTCTTCAGTTTTTCCTTCCATTTTTCCCATGTGTTTCTTTGTGGCTTTACATGGTCAGAGTCAACTTCTGTTGTTTGCCACCTAAAGACCCCAGACTGACACTGAGAGAGTTGTAGCAGGTTCTCTAAACTAATCAGACCACACGATTTTGAGTCGAAGGTGATGGGTTTGGCTCTTTTTGAGTTAGATTTGCTGGGCCCATGACCACACAGCATCTTTGGTCACAAAGACACATCAGGTGGAAGTTTGCCAGTGGATTGACAAATCGACTGCTTATATGATGAAGATGCAAATTCAAATGCCAGTCTCACTGATGGCAGGTCAGCCTTGTCGTTTCTGTCTGTGAAGGACAGAGACATCTCTAGCTGTCATTTTACAGACTTCATGCAGTGGTTAAAATTAAACTTCTGAGTTTCTCCAAACCCACAAAGAGAAGATAGAGTAAAAAGAAGCAGGTGTATGTAATTTGGATGGACAGGCCAAATTATAGGAGAAGCAGGAAGGGAGAGAGTGTAATTATCTTTCATCTGGAAAAGACTGCATGCACGCATGAACAGCATATTCCCCAGAAGAGAGAAGCCTGTAACTGCTAGTGCCTGGCCACATATCCCTGAGGGAAGACCTCTGCTCTGGAGGTCACACTGTCAGAGCAGCAGACCGCAGCAGCTTGTCATGGGAGGGAAGAAAGCTTATGCTGGATCTCAGATGAAACACCCTTGTTTTCAATTCCCGCATAAAGAAAGCTATGTATCTTTGGACATCTGACTCACTTTCCGTGGCTCTTAGTTACCGTATTTGCCGGCGTATAAGACGATTTTTTGGCCCTGAAAAATATGCCTCCAAGTGGGGGGTCATCTTATACGCCAGGTACACTTCAGATAGACTACCCATAGTGCTTGCCCCGTGCCATAGTGGCCTCCCGATGCCCGCCCACTTCATTCCACATACCGTTCAGGCATCAGCAGCATTGCTGGGTGTATGCTCGGCTGTGTGCGATTTTGCGAGTGTGGTAAATTCGGGTTACTGTATGTTTCTTTACATATGCATTGAAGATTCGCGATTTTGCGCTATCATGGTGCCTGTTAGAATGTTGAAGAGCTCGCACTTGCGCACTAGTGAGGTCCCAGGGAGATGCTGATGCAAGGGTGGACCAGACTGCTATAGTGACAGAGCGGGCAAACAGGGAGCAGGGACCAATCAAATCAGGCTTTGTATACAGCCAACAGCCAACCACAATACTGCACCATTGTACAGTACAGCATAGAAAATGGCGACCAGTCAAACCCCTATCATCCCTATCATGGCACCAGCCAAAAGAAAGAAGTATGATGCAAATTTTAAACTGAAAGTTATAAACTTTGCTAAGGAAAATAATAATTGTGCTGCTGCAAGACAATATGGAGTAACAGAAAAGATGGTTCGGGACTGGAAATCAAATGAGAAAGCATTAAAGAGTATGCCAAGGGGTAAGTGTGCATTAAGAAGAGGCACCCCACACTGGCCAGAACTCGAAAAACATGTAGCAGACATGGTGGCTCAACATCGCCAAAACGGTTATGTGGTGACACGAAATACAATACGCTTGTTTGCACTTCAGTGGGCCAAATCAAATCTGATATTGTTTTACCTTTTATTTGGTGTGTGGAAGGTGTGCGGAAGAGGGGGTAGTCTTATACGGCGAGTATATAACAAACTCTGTATTTTGAGTGGAAATGTTAGGGGGTCGTCTTATACGCCCAGTCGTCTTATACGCCGGCAAATACGGTATCTGTAGGAATCAAGAATGAACCCAAATCCTTTCTAAAGTATTTTTCCTAGTTTTAAAATCTCTGATTTTTGTGAATATACAACTACTTCCAGCTACTTTCAGTCCATTCACCATGTTCCATTTTGATTATTAAGGTTTAATTAAATAATGACTTCAGTAGGACTTTATCACATTGGATATATTTTATGTGTGAGCTAGAATCTGCAGACTGCCATTTTCTCTTTTTACTTATTTCCCATCTTTGAAATTTAATATACGTTTATTTAATTTACAGATACTTCTCAAACACATTTATGCTGTGAAGTGTAGTATGCAGTAATGGTGATTGACACATACGAACATTCAATGAACGTCAACTGATTCCATCATTCTCAAAATTTACAGCTGCATGAGGTTTACCACTTTTTTTTTAATTTGCTCCAACAGACTTAAAAATGTCCTATCAGAGTATAAATAACTGACGAGAACACTAATGGAGTACAGTATTTATTTTCTTTTAACACACACTACGTAAGTGGGAAAAAACACATTACCCTTTGTGACACGTCCTAATGACACGCTTAGTTGGTTTTCTCTTCCATTTTCTCTAAACTCTCTCTGGCTTAAGATAGACAACTGAAAGCAAACATGTGGCTACCACATTGGGGACAATTGAAAGTATTCGTGAACCCCATGGGAGACTGTCTAGACACACAGAGCTCTCTGTTCAGTGACAAAACTGTTATTCACAGTATATGAGAAACTGTAATTCCTTCTACTCAACATTGAAATAATAAAAGTAATGATGATGATGATAATAATAATAATCATAATAATTGCAGCTACATCAAGCTACCTTTAGCCTTTTAGATTTGGTAAGATCCACAGCTGATTTCACTTTGACCTTAAGACTTTCATTTTGTGGACATTTCTCCAGTATATGTTATGGAGGAAGAGAGATGGAATTCTTCTTCTTAGGTTCTAGGCTATCGATATTAAGGTCAAGGACTTGCACTGCAATGTCTAGCCCAGTGACCAAGAAGTGAAAGTTGTCATAAGTCTGTGTTCCTGATACTTGTTAACTGTCTTTACGTTTTGGGATAATTCATATAAATGGAAAGTAGTATTATATGCAGAAAGCCCAAACCATATAACAGTGTCACTGAATGACCAAAGCCAGAACACCAATGCCATTAGGCAAAGGACTCTAGGTTGAACATAAATTCTTTTGTTGGAGACTCATCCAAATCTTGTTCTTTGGTAAAGACTAATGGTATACGTGCTTTGGTGCCATGTAGTTTGAAAACGTCACAGAGAATAAAATAAAGTGTGACGTTGGAGACCTGTAAAGGGAAAATAATTGAGGACAGGTAGTATTACATTTTAAAAAGGTAATTCAGGAAGGATAACAGTGAAATAAAGCAGCAGAAATCATCTTACCTGGAGTAAAATGGAGGAGAGGAATAGTTAGTCTTAAAGTGAACAGTGTGCTTGTGTTCCCTTCTCCTCATTCTTGTCTTCTGCCACATACCACTTCCAGGTACTCACCCAAATATAAAAAGTAGACAGTTGGTACACACTTGTCTGTGTGTGAAGACTGAACTGGAAAAAAAAATCTGTAAACAGACTGGGTAGGAGAATTCCAGAAATAATGAATTTTAAATATATCTTGTTTGGTTACCTATCCCCTTGGGCCACCTAGGGAATGGAAAAGTGAAGCTTAACCCTAGGGTACAGAAAAGTATTTCATTCTGTTGTCTTTAATGCATATTCATATATTATTCAGTAAATAATGTTAGTCACTATAACAAAATGGGAAAATGATAAGAGGTGAAGTTATGATAGGAGAATGGACCTTTGAAACTCAGTGAATCAGAATTCAAAGTCATTTGGTTGTATTGACCACAAAAATAAAGGGTCAGCCAGTTGGCAAAACTGCCTACATATGAAGTCCAAGTGAT